CCAAGTTCCTACTTTCCTATCCTAGGAGACAACAGGCTTGTAATATTCCCATACAACCCAAAGATACAAATACTGTAGACTGTGGAAGATCTCTGCCTTCACTCAAATATCTTCCTCTGATTTATTAGTTGATCAAATAAAACTTAAGTTAAAAAAAAAACATACTTGACATTCACTATATGCAACTACGCATGCAACTTCTTAGTTATCTTACAGAGGGAAGTAAGCTCAACCAGAAGACATACAAAAGGCCAAAGGGAAAATGTAGCTTAAATTGCATGTATGCAAGTTGTAATGGCTTATTTTCACTATGAGCTCAGCAGAAAAATTACCAGAGGCACATTTAAAATTCAGCGGAATAGAGAGTATTTAATATGCCACTTGCATTTTGACAGCTTAGAAATGTCTACACTGGGTTTGCTGTATCGTCTGCTTATAAGCACGGACCAGCCACCGAGCCTTTGTTTATCTATTTCTTAAAGGAAGCAGAACCATTTTCTTGACATTTTCAAAGCTGTGTTGGTGTTTGCTTGACACAATAAACTGGAGAGTAAGGAAGCATTGCCCCCAGGAGGAGCTGCTTTTGCCTGTAGGAGCTTTAGCACTGTGGCTGTGGCAGTCTTCTTATCAAGCATGATGGGCCAGCTGAAAGCCAATATAAAAATAGCCATTCCCTCTCCTCCCTAGGCCTCTGCCAGTGAGATGCTTGAGACGTGGGGGAATTCTACCACCCTGCCCTACCCACCATTTGCTTCTCTGGACTTGTTTGATGAGACCTCATTGCCCTGCTATTCAAGTTTACAAAACCTGTCACTTCCGAAGAAAGCCTCCCTTTTGCTTACCTTTTCAAGGACTTAAAACCCCAAACGACATGAGTGCTCCGGAAGCACTGAATAGCTTTCTGCTGACCAGTTCTGATTTGAAGTCATAGTGATTAATAATAATATCCTGATAATGCAACAGGAAAAAGACATGATCTGCTCAGCAATTACAGAGATATTAACTTCATTTTAAGTGTGTGTTTGTTTGAGATGGAGTTTCGCTCTTGTTGCCCAGGCTGGAGAGCAATGGCACCATCTCAGCCCACTGCAACCTCCACCTTCTAGGTTCAAATGATTCTCCTGCCTCAATCTCCTGAATAGCTGGGATTACAGGTATGTGCCACCACACTCAGCTAATTTCGAACTTTTTGTAGAGACGGGGTTTCACTATGTTGGTCAAGCTGGTCTGGAACTCCTTACCTCTGGTGATCCACCCACCTCGGCCTCCCCAAGTGCTGAGATTACAGGCGTGAGCCACGGCATCCGGCCCATTTTTTTTATTGCTGGATGGGCATTAGGGGTTTCCTGTGAAAGCATCTTCTTCACAGGAGTGTCCTGGCTTCATCAGCAGGAAGTGTATGGGGTGCGGCTCTGCCATAAAGGAATTTAACCAGCAAATTAAAGGTCTTAGCATCCTTCTTGGTGACATGAGTCTTTCATAAGGTAACTCATCTAAAACCATGCAGGTATGGGAGGGTGCACCCCGCTCGCGGTGGAGTTCCAGGCTTGCTCTGGAAACTCAGCAGTGCGTGCTCACATCTCTGCTGGGTAGGTAAAGGAATTTACCTTGTTTGAATTACTTCCTTTCAGGAATGTTCCACCTTTCTCTTTCGGACTTCTCAAAATGAGGCTGCTCTGGGCTAGTAGTGTTGTGTGTGCTCTCCTTTAGGACGCTTTCTGGGTAAGTAATTGAATGCAAATACCTGCATTCTCGTGGCTGCACATATGCAAGAAACAACTGAGAGCAAACTTTGTCCAAACAGCCAGTAGATCAGCCCCAGGTAAAGGGGCAGATCCGAGCCAGCGCACACAGAATTAATACTCCTGTTTACTAGATGAAAATGCTTACAGCCTTACTCCTTTTCCCCTGATCCCTGAAAAAAGGCATTTAAAGAGAAACGCACATTTGGGACTCAACCTTTATGATGCCATTAATAATCAAGAAGAAAAAGGAAATCACCAGTGAATTTTCGATACCCCCAACGCTTTATTGAAGAATACAGCACCATCAGCTGAAGCTGATACTCGGGTACCCACAGTAACGGGTTTCAGTGACCTCAACTGCGACCGCCTCCAGCCTCACGACTCCGCAAACAGGTCACGAATTATGCCCCACGCATCAAAAACTCTGCGCCTGCCTTCGCCACAGCGGGTGCCGCCACCTGGGCGCGCGCAGCGCAGCTGCCCACGGCAGTGGCCGGGCGCCCTCCCGCCAGAGCGCTCCTCCTCGGGAAAGCCCTGCTGCGCGCAAGCGCCTCCGGTCGGCCCTGGAGCGCGCTGCCGAGCCCCGGGGCCCAGCGCCGACGCCCCCGGGGGAGGCCCGACCTTGGTCACCCGGGCTTTGCTAGGCAAGGGGAACGCGACCCCGCCCCAATAGCCAGAGCGCACAAACGGCGACTCCGGCGCTGGCGTCACCGGCCCCCTTCCTGCCTGCAGCCCCTTCCCAGGCCGCTACAGGAACTCGCACTTGACCCCGCAAGCGCGGAGGAGACATGGCCCTTGGTCCCTGTGGGGTTAATGAAGGAGTTCCACGGACCCACCGCCGGGTGGGCCAGACAATAGCGCAGTGATAGCTGCGTCCGAGCGTCCTGGACCCCCATCGCGCGCACACACTTGGCGCACAGCACCGCTCCAGCTCCATGCACGCCAGGGGCCTGGGACCCTGGGCTCCACTTCTCGGCTTCTGCAGCCAGGTTCTGGGGCCTGCAGCGCCCAAGAGGAGCTCTCTTCCACGGGACTGCCCCGCAGGGCCCGAGGCACCCAGGACTTTGCACCCCCTGCCCTGTTCACCCCAGAAACAGCCAGAGCAGCCCCCGCCCACTACCTGCCCCTCCACACCCTCCCTCTCGCCTCCGCCTCAGCCTCATCCTAGCGCTGCAGCCCACCCGCGTGGGGGCGGAATCCGCCCGACACACACGTGTGCGGATTATTAAGCAGCCGAGCTAGGGCCGCCGCCGTCTCCACGCAGCAACCTCTGTTAATTGCGGGGGAAGGGAGCCCGGAGCGCGCGGAACTCGGGGGAACCGAGAGTGAGCTCAGAGGCTGAGTTGCCTGCTTGAAAAGAAGGAAGCCCCGGGCCCAGATAGGCTTGGAGTGCAGGGGAAAGGGCGGGAAGTTTTGCGGAGTTGCATGGCAGGTGTTTCCTCTCTACGCAGGGGCTTGACTGGAAAAAGCCAGGTCCTGTCCCTTGGGCTCCTGCCCTCTCCCCGCTGCGACACACACGCCCCTGCACACCTCACAGGGCACAACCCTCTTTGCCCTAGACTTTAGCTGCCTCGCCTTCCAATTCCCAGCCAGTCCAGTGCTGACCAGAGGCCGCTGCCAGCCGGGCCCTGCTCAGTCGGCGGTGCCTCCGCAGCCAGCAATGTCAGCGGCAGTGGCCAAGGCATCCGGACCGAGCCGGGCGGGTGGGCAGAGGGTCGGCGTCTGCAGGAAGGTCCCCAATCCCAAGCGACCACAAGCTTGGGTGACTAAGACCCATCATTTGCGCTCCCCGGGATCTCGGGGCGCATTCCCGCAGACACCCCCTTGTGAGGGTGGATGAGGGTGAGGAGGAGTTGCTGCTGAGCGGTCAGCTCTCACCGAGCCCTGGACGCCCCGTGGAGACGAGCGCAGGGAGGGGAAGCCCAGCAGGCACGTCTCTCCCCCGCTCTCCAGGCAGATCTGGAGTTTCCTAATGAACCAGATACAGTCCTCCTTCGCCCTGCCAATCACTCTTCCATCTGGACCACTGGAGGAAAAGGAAATGGGTGGAAAAGAAGATGGAAGAATCTAGAGAGGAAGGGGAAATTTTATGTAGGGAAAAAAGCAAGTGACCATTAAAAAAAAATCCTAAGATTGGACTCCATCCTTTAAAAATGAAACGAAAGGAAACCCCTGTGTAGATACACATATTCCCGGGAATATCTGTCGAAGTGCTGACTATAGAGAAAGCATCTAAGGAGGCTAAAAATGAGGACAGGGGCAGGTATTTCCAATGTGAACATCAGTCAGTCTTCTCTTTCTCTCTCTCTGTTTCTGTCTCTCTCCCTCTCTCTCGCCCTCTCTCAAAAGAGAGCTTATTTTCTTTCCCGGAGAATAGACAAGTGCACAAGCTATTGCCAGCCTTGAGGTCGCAGCCTGTAGGCTACTTAGGATAAAACATTCCCCAACTCATTCAGGGAGAAAACCAAGTTCACAGAACCCCAAGCCCCAGAAAGCACCCAGAGAAACTCCTTCCCCTGACCAGGGTGGAAAGAGGATACCCCTGCGCCCACAGTGAATGCATCTGACTTGGAAGCTGGTCCAGAACTCCGAGCCTGTTTCACGCACCTTGCCAACACCTTACAACTTGCAAGGAGCGAAGTCCGGGGGAGAGGAAAGCGGGGGCCACCTTCCAGAGGCAGCTACTCCTCGCTGGCTGGGGACGTTGGAGAGGGAAGGAGGAGACGAGGAATGGGGTGTATGGGTGCGAGGAGGCCGGGCCAGCGGAGAGCTTTGCCTGTTGGTATCAAAACCCCCGTAGAGAGCCCGAACTTTCCAGGCCGGCTTCACCCGGGCCGCTTTTCCAGGCGCGTCGGGTCCGGGGAGAAAGTCCTGGGAACTGCCCCTTAGCCACCCCGACCCGTGGAGTCCACGTCTCGGAGGAGGCAACACCGCCCCGCCGGAGCACAGTTCCAGCCCAACTCGTCTTGGGTTCCTTTCTCCCTGACACCCTGTACCGCCGAGAAAAAGAGATACCTCCTTTGAGCCCAGGAGAGGGGGAAGGAATGGCGGGGTGGGGCGGGGGCCCAGGAGGGCTGGGGAGAGCGCGATGGAAGCTCCCTCCCGAGCATCGCGTTCCCCGAGCGTCGGCGATGGAGCAGCGCCGGGCAGAGGCGGCCACTCCGTACCCTGCGGTCCTCAAAACGCACACTCGCGTCCGCACACGGGGCCTCCGAGGACTCGACCGCCTCCCCGGCCAGGAGCAAGCCGTCTTACCCTTCGCTGCAGTGAGGAGCCTCGCGCACAGCACCAGCAGCCCGAGAAGCAGGAGCAGCGACTGGAATCTCCTCCACGCAGTCATGTCTGCAGATACTCCACACGCACGCGACACCGATGGTTCCTCCGAGGAAGGCAGGGCTATGAGCGGAGCCAAATAATCACCCGAGGGCAAGGCAAGCCGGAGAGAGAGCCCGGTCCCGAGACCCGCCGCGCATCCGACGCCTCCTGCAGGTCTAGGCGCCCGGCTCGCTTCCCTCTCATAGCATCGGGTCCCGAGCCACTGCAGGGCTGAGCTGCTCCGAGCGCGGAGACCCGGGCTGGCGGGGCCGGGGCCGGGGACGAGCGCCGGCCGAGCCGGGCAGGAAGGCACCAAGGCGGCGAGGCTGCGGGAGGGGGCGAGGCGGGGAGAGGAGCGCGCGCAGCCAGGAGAGACCTGGAGAGGAGGCAGCTGGAGAGAGAGCCAGCGAGTGGGAGATGCGGGGAGGGGGGCGCGGGGGGAGGAGAGAGCCAGTCTAGAGAGAAAAGGCGGAGAGCGCAGAAGACGGGCTGCTAGTGGCACAAGGAGCCGCTGCCGTGGAGGCTGGACTCAACCATCCCTACCCACAGAGAGGGGACCGAGGCTGGGCACGGCGCAGTCCCAGACAGAGCCCAGCCTCGGGGCTTCGGGCTGCCAGCACCGTGCTGCGCTGCATTCGGCCTCAGCGCAGCAGCGCGCAGGCTGGAGAAGGAAGACTTGTTGGGCGCTCGGGTGGGGGAAGCCCACGCCGCACACCGGGGAGGAGCAATGCAATCCGGCAACTCCAGCAAACTGGAGGGTTTCTGCAGGGGCAGAGGCCGGCCTCCATTCTTTGATCTCCCTTCCTTGCTGACCAGAGAGCAGCCCCCTGCCTAACTTAGATCAGAAATGCAGGTGGAAAGGGCACAAGCTTCAACTCCAAGGGAGGAATACACACACACACACACACACATGCACATATATGTATGTATATATTCCTATTCCTATGTATATATATAAGATGGACTATTTGCAAGGAGTTACACATATTTACAAATTTCCTGACTTCGGATTGTGTTAGCCTTAGCCATGCCCAAACTTCAGCTTCAGATAAAATGTGACATGAGGAAGTCTCTAGAATTAATATTATGGTCTGGTTATGAGAGCCGGCATGTTGGCACAGCTTCTGATGAAACTATATATAAAATTCTGTGGGTTGGGAAGGGGCCTTAAAAGAGAAAAGACAGGTTCTCCCTGATTCTGCAAAAGGAGGAAGCCCGCAGAGAGAACAGTGCTCTAGAATAGCAGTACTTGATACAGTAAACTGGATTTCACCCAGCTCCTCAAATAGAGGAGGCATTCCTGCAGTTCCTGGGGAACCTGTAAGGCGAGACAGGAAGGTGGTGGTCAGTTAATAGAAACACCATCAGTGAGTGCCGGTTTCCATAGAAGGACATTTAAAGGATTCAACATCCTTGACCAAAAAGGTTTAGCGCTTTTAGAGGACAGAACATGGAAATCCCATGCCCCAGTAAGAGAGAACCAGCCTCCAGGCCTGGAACCATTAGAGTACAGCAACCATCTACCTGCGGTATCCCCACAGCACCAGATGCCTGTGGTGGGAGGGAGAGCCCACCGCCTCATTCCACCTGCACTTCCTCTCAGTCTTTCAGATTAAATGGGTTGACAGTTTGATAATGGTTTATATGCCTCCTTTAATTTTCTTAGATTGCCCCTGCCCCTGTGATCCAGGATACTCCAGAAAGGCATAGTAGATCCAGGAAGGACTGAAACCTTGGCATGGAAACACCAAAGCCTGACTTTCTTAGTCTCCCTGCAGCCTCAGGTGCAGGTGGCCACAGCGGGGGCCACCTCCACAACCCTTTTCTCCTCGCAGAGATACGCGCTTTAAATATGGGGTGGGGGGAATGCATGCTCTTGGAGTTTCAGTCCTGCACAGGACTTGAATTTTCCTCAGTGCAGAGTCCCGTCTTGCCTCGTTTATCCCTGGAGGGACACTCAGAAGACAGAACGCCTCAGCCACAGGGGAATTCCCACAGAACCCCTGAGTTCTATTCTTTAGGCTGAACTGGGCTTGTGGGGCAGACTGTCGCCCCCTCTGGGAGTTTAAATCAGACCCCAGATAGTATCTGTGAGTCAGCAAGTGAACAAAAACGCTTTCCAAGACCCATTAAGTGCTCCAATAGTTCATTTGAAGCGCCTCATCAGGAAAAACGGATCTCTTTTCAGGAGCTGAAGAGCTGACTTCTCCTTGAGAAACGCTGCCCTGTCTCTATGCTGCCATTCCTAATGACTCGTGTCACCAAGAAGGATTTCTGCCATTAAAAAACGTTTCCAACATCTAACCATCCTAGGCTAGCGCTCATAGATGATTTTCACTTGATTAGGATCCCAATCAGCAACAGTGAGTGTCACCTGAGAGATGGAACGCCTTTCCACATAATTGTGACAGGCTCCAGGCTGAAATTCCCTTTTCCTGTGTTCTGTTGAAAAACGTCCCATGCCACCTCCTTTCCTCAGAGATCAAAGAATCTATTTGATACAAAGCCTTGAGAAATAATGGTCCAGATAACCAATAACCACTCTTTTTTTTTTTTTTTTTTTTTTTTTTGCTGTTATTTATATGGGGTATTTTCTTTGGCTCGAACATATATTAGAGAGTTACAATGATTCGTACCAAATTGTTTCTTGATCATAAATATGAGAAGAGTAGGAAACGGCTGTCAAATAAAATAAGCTGGTTTTGTGATATGGTTGTATTTGTGTGTTAATACAGTGAATTTTTCCCCCAAGATCTCAAGGTTGGGTTAATTTGGAAGGAAAACATGGGGCACTGCTGCCATCTAGCGTCCACTATTTCTTGTTCGGCGTTTGCAGAGAGATCAGTGGTCCCTGTGTTTCACTTCTCTTACCTCCTGTGGTTCCCTGCCTGCGTTTTGAATCTCCTCCAGAACACTCTTACGCCCTCCTTGCAGTCAGGCTGCAGCTCGAGCCTATTATTAGGCAACTGCAAGCCCCCCCTGACTGACACACATCCACACTTTGATTTTTAAATGATTGTGAAAGCCTTAATCCATATCAGAAGTCCAGTACGTGTTACTTAGAGCAGTATTAACCAAATGGGGTTAGAGTGAGTGAGGGACCCAGGACGTCACACCAGGAAGTTCTGTGGCCACTTCTCTGCCGGGGTCTGTGCTGCCTGGAGCATCATACCTCCGTACTTGTATACTGACTCCATTCTCCATCCTGGGCATCGCACTCTCCACAGTCTCAGGACCTGGCTACGCAACACTAGAAATACCCTTGGCGCTCAGGACCAACCAGAGAGTTGAGCAGTGTGATGATTAAAGGCAAAGAGGTGCTGATGTCCTGGAAGGGATAATGACCTCCCTAAATTCAGGTAGCCACTAGTTTAAGACAAGGTTGGAGAAATGACAACGTAAACATCTGAGAAGTGCAGTCGCTGAAGCGGGAGAGTATATTTTAAAAGGAATTGTCTGACGAGGGGACAGAAAATATGAACATGGTACTTGAGATAAAATTAGAAAATTTTAAAACATGCACAAATGAGAATGCTAATTAGCTAGAAAAGCTGTACATGTGCGAAAATCTTAGAAAATATGGTGTGTTGTCATGATGGCTAAATGTGACATTATTTGGTTTGTTTAATGTCACATATGAAAAAAAAACTGATGGCAACCAAAGAATTGGGGAAAAGTATTTCCTTGACGGGGGGGTCAGTATTAGAGCCACGTGACTCATGTCTCCAGCAGTGCAATGCCTACCATGGGTGAGCAGAAGTGTGAGAGAGCTTAAGGAATAAAAGCAGAAGTCAAAACAGTCACATTTGGTTTACAAGGCATTTTATACGTAACTTCATTGAAACCATGCTTGTCTTTATCACTCCCACTTCCAACGGTAAGGACATAGTGGTTTCGAGAAACCAGGGGACTTGAAAAGGGGTCACATCGGACTGAGGGCCAGAATGTGCGTGACACTCAAACTTTTTGCTGCATCAATATTTAAAAACCAAGCCCTCCCACCCGTTGCTGACTGAAGAACATACCTGGACTCCAAGGTTCCAACACACATGGCGCTACGCCCCCAGGGTGGCATGATAAAAGAACAGAGAGACACCTCTACAGAAGACTCCACTCAACAGCAGCAGAATGCACACTCCTTTCAAGTACACATGGAGCGTTCTCCAAGACAGACCATTTCCTAAGCCATTACACAAACAAACAAACAAGAAACTATGAACGTTTGCAACTCTTTATTTAGGTAAATTGAGATTTACTTAACTATCCTCATTGACTGGATTTATAAGTAGATGTTAATCATCTTCCCATTTTTATAAAATAAATTAACAGCTTTCACATGTATACTATACACACACATGGATATATAAATGACATTAAAATGCAGCAAACTAACATGATAAATTGAGCTGTCAAGGGACAGCCCACACTAGGAATGATCCACTGGGAGGAATGACAACACTGCAGATTCTCTCCTTTCACAATTACGTAGCCAAATGGAGGGTCACTGCAGGCGTCAGCATGTATCACGATGACCTGGAAGGCTTGTGAAAATATAGATTCCTGGCCGGGCACGGTGGCTCATGTCTGTAGTCCCAACACTTTGGGAGGCTGAGATGGGTGGATCATGAGGTCAGGAGATCGAGACCATCCTGGCTAACACGGTGAAACCCCGTCTCTACTAAAAATACAAAAAATTAACCGGGTGTGGTGGCGGCGCCTGTAGTCCCAGCTACTCAGGAGGCTGAGGCAGGAGAATGGTGTGAACCCGGGAGGCGGAGCTTGCAGTGAGCCGAGTTCGTGCCACTGCACTCCAGCCCGGGGGACAGAGCAAGACTCTGTCTCAAAAAAAAAAAAAAAAAAAAAAAAAAAAAAAGAAAAAGAAAAAGAGAAAGAAAAGAAAATGCAGATTCCTGACCAGAACCCCAGAGGATCTGCTGCAGCATAAGCTTTGGAATGCAACTTAAGAATGTACATTTCTTTTTTAATTTTTAATTTGTATTTTTTGTAGAGACTAGGCCTCACTATGTTACCTAGGCTGGTTTAGAACTCCTGGGCTCAAGATGATCCTCTGGCCTCAGCCTCAGAAAGTGCTGGGATTACAGGCATGCGCAACCACGCCTAGCTAAGAATATACATATCTAACAAGTTTCAAATGGACCCTGATGCATCCAGGATTCCACTGTGAGAACCACTGGTATGGAGGTTGACTTTGGAGCCAACAGGACTTGCTTTGAATCCCATATCTGCCATTTCCTAGACTAGAGACCTTAAAAAAAAAAAAAAAAAGAAGAAGAAGAAGAAGAAACTTAATTTAGATGTAAGTTTCTGGTCTCAAATGTAGATAATGAGAAGATCTACCTCATAGACTTGTTGGAAAAACCAAACAATATAGACATAATGCCTGATATATAGTAAACCCTCAAAAATATGATTTTCCTTTCTTTATTCCGTGAGTCTCTGAAACGGAGAGAACAAGAGAAGAAACCCAGATGGAGAATGGCATTTCCATCTGTTCGGATCCATATTTTAGGAGTTGCAAACTGGATGTTGGGAGGGAAAAGAAACACATTCCGTCAACGTCTCCCAGATTGTCTCAAGGTGAATCCAGCAGGATTCCATGTGGGAAAGCCGTGGGTTT